ACGATACCCGATGCCTATCCACTGCCTCTGATCAGTCAGATAACCGAAGAGCTGGGAAGAGCGAGGTATTTCAGCAAGTTAGATCTGATTGGAGCTTATCAGCTCCTACGAGTAAAGAAAGGACACGAGCACTTGACGGCGTTCAGAACTCAGTACGGTATGTTCGAGTCCCTTGTTGTTCGAGATGGTCTGCGAAATGCTCCTGCTGTATTCCAGCATTTTCTGAATGAAAGTTTTAGAGAACTGTTGGGGAAAGGAGTGGTTGTCTACATAGATGATATACTCATCTATGGTCAAACGTTGGAAGAATTGAGAGGAACTACGGTGAAGGTGTTCGAAGTTCTTCGAAGGTCGAATCTGTTCGTCAAGGCTAGTAAGTGCGAGTTTGAAAAAGATTCGGTAGTCTTCTTGGGTTTTGTGGTCTCACAGGAGGGAGTTTCTAGTAATCCAGAGTACATCGACGCTGTTGTGTCTTTTCCCCGTCCCAAGAACCTAAGAGAGAGCAGAGGATTTATGGGAGTCGTTAGTTATTATCGGCGCTTTGTCCCCAACTTCTCCAGGATTGCTAAACCGATCAATGATCTCACAAGGAAGGATGTACCGTTTGTCTGGGGTATGGAGCAGGAAAGAGCTTTTAAAGAATTGAAGGATAGAATGTGTAGGGCTCCGGTATTGGCTCACTTTGATCCTTCGTTGAAGACATTACTACAGACAGATGCCTCGTTCTTTGGGTGGGGGTTCATAATATCGCAGGTGAACGAGTTAGGGCAAGAACATCCGGTAGCTATCGAGTCAGGAGCGTTTCAAGCGGCGCAGTTAAACTATACGGTAGGCGAGAAGGAACTACTAGCTATTGTTGAGGCTTTTAGAAAAAGGAGACACTTACTGTTACAGGTAGAGACTACAGTTCTCACGGACCACTTGAACTTGACATACTGGATGGAACCGAAGCAGTTAAGCCCGAGACAGGGCAGGTGGGTCAAAGAGCTCTCTAACTTTAGGTTTAAGATGGTGTATCGACCTGGGAAACAAGCTACACTCCCGGATGGACTATCGAGAAGAGCAGACTACCACTCTGGAAAAGGAAGTACAATGGTGCAAGAGAGCAACCTTATTCAAGGGTTGCCGAAGTTCGACGAACTCGACGGCACTAGCTCTGGGTTACAACACCTACTTCGTGCTTTGCAAGGGACAAAGGAAGTAAGAGAGAGTGACCTTATTGATCCCATGGATCTGATTGTTGGTATACAGGAAGATGAGGAAGTGGAGGAGGTTAGGAAGGAGCTACTAGGAGTCATTTGCGCTGAGTGTTCTCATCCAACGTGTCATGATGACGTACAGGAACCAGGATCCATCACCGAACTACGCCGTAGTTCGCGGTCCCCTCTGATACTTCGTGGGGGGTGGACCTCAAGGGGTTTTCTTGCATTCGACGATCGCACTTATGTACCGAACTACGCCGACGCTCGACTAAAGATTATGAAGACGCAACATGACTCGGCCTTAGCTGGTCACCCGGGTTCGGCAAAGACCCTTGAACTAGTCCTGAGAGATTATGTTTGGGTTGGAATAAGGAAGGATGTAGACGACTATATCGCTGGTTGTGCGGTATGTCAGAGAGCAAAGACTAACAGACAGAAACCCCATGGAGAGCTTAAACCATTGCAAGTGGCTGCTAAACCCTGGTCAAGCATCTCGATGGATTTCATCGAAGAGCTTCCGAATTCCCATGGAAATAATTCCATCCTGGTAGTGGTGGACCGATTGACCAAATGGGCCATTTTTATCCCAACCACGATGAAGTTGACCGCAGCTGGACTATCGGAGCTGATAATGGACTATGTGGTGGCCCAGCATGGGTTACCAGAGAGTATAGTATCGGACAGAGGATCGAAGTTTACCTCGAAGTTCTGGAAGAACTTGACCGATAGTCTCGGCATAAGACTACATCTTTCTACTGCGTATCACTCACAGACTGATGGACAGACCGAACGAACTAACCAGTCCCTGGAATTATACCTTCGGATCTTCACTTCCTACCAGCAGAACGACTGGTCGAAGCTGCTTGCTCGAGCTAGCTTTGCTTACAACAACACCCATCACTCCGCGATAAACAAGACCCCATTCTACGCAAACTATGGGTACCACCCTCGATGGGCTGAAGAGATTAAGGCTAGTGAAGTTGAAGTACCTGCTGCTACAATAGCAGTAAAAGACCTAACCGAAATACATAAGGAATGTATTGAGGGGATTGAGAAGGCTAATGAGAAGTACGCCGAAGGATACAATAGGAAACACCGAACTACGCCGAGCTTTGTGGAAGGGGACCTAGTGATGCTGTCATTAGAGAACATCAAGACTAAAAGACCAATGAAGAAGTTAGATGTGAAGCAAAGTGGGCCGTACAAGGTAGTACGGCAGGTAGGTTCTCATGCTTGTAAATTGGAATTACCAGGAACGATGGCAGGTATCCATGATGTATTCCATGTTTCATTGCTTCGCCCCTATCATCCTCCAGTATTCCCTGGTCAGCAAGCTGAACCACCTGGCCCGGTAGAGGTAGATAACGTAGGAGAATCGTGGGAAGTAAAGGACATCGTGGACTCTAGAGTAAATAAGAGGTCAGGAAAGTTAGAGTACCTAGTAGAGTGGTTAGGTTACTGTTACGGAGTAACAACGAATCGAGAGAACTCCATCGAGTTCGACGGATTAGGAAGGAGAACGGCGGGAGTTGGAGGCAGTGCTGCAGTAGGTAGGGACGGGTTTTCCCTTTTCGAGATTTCCCCACTGGGTTTGCTCAAAAGCGGTTTTTCACCTGTCCGAGTATGTACATAGACGCTTGCAGTAGGAACTGAGAGGAGGACACGGATACCTGTAGACAGTATATAGTACAATCAGCAAAGTACCAACTTTGCTGATTCTTCAATATCATTCTTTGGCTACATCGATTGCAGAGGAGACACGATCCATTAGCACCAGAGATACATAGATTTCCACGAGAGTTCCATCGACTTCGACCCAACCTGCGACCTAGTCATCGTGTTTCCAGTACCGTTACAACGAGGACGGAGACTCACCAGGACGAAAGGCGGGCTTCCTGCGGCGAGGGCCGGGAGGACCAGACGCGGGGGAGGGAGAACCAGGGGAAGGAGAAGCGGAACGAGGAGGCGAGGCAGCGCCAGACGGCTCCCCCAGAGAGAGAGTGCCGAGGCCGAGGGAGGAGACTTGGCGAGATCTGTCGCCGAAAGAAACTGACCATCAGCCAAGTTCGGCGAGGTGAGGTCAGTATCGATAAAACTCACGAGCAGAGGACACCATACCGCCAAAGTTCCTCATGGCGGCGAAAGAGTTGGGAGTGGGAGTAGAGGGAGCCATGACGTTAAGGTAGTTAAAAGAGAGATTAAATCTCGAGATGATTTTTCAAGGTAACAAATCTGTTTTCTAGGTAAGAGAGGTAAGAAGTTTTGAAAGCAGATGGGGAAAAGAGAGAAGCTCGACGAACTGCTCAATATTTAGTATGATCAGACCTACCCCCCTTCGTCGTCAAGATGCAGCAAACTTCGTGTTTCATCAACAAAAGACAGCGCAGGGACGATCAAAATTCCCACGCTATAGTGTCTCATCTCAATATAAGCGAGGGTTACTTCGGCAAACGACGGTGTTGTTCGGTTACCATCCGGGAAGCGCGTCTCACCTACAAAAGACACAGGGCTTCTTACGGCAAACCTCGACGAAGTTAGGGGAGTCCCATTGTCGGGTTTTGGAGTGAAAGGAGGCTCAGCTGCGAAGTGCGGCGCAAAGAGCAGAAGGGCGAAGGATAACTATGGAGAGGTAGAGAATGGGGGTACTACGCTGCTAAGTTTGCTTGCCACAGTAGAGGTGTTAACGCTCACAAGGACGTTCGCGGCTAAAGAAGGGGGCGACTGTCACGAACTACGTCGTGACACCTCGATTATTCCACCAACAATGACCCTCCTTTGACCATCAAAACCCCTATCACGTCTTAACCCTTTTACTCTACATGTAACTCAGGACATCTGAGACCAAGTACGGCGAAGTTAGACGGAGTTAGGCTAGGTAGGGACAATGGAAGCAGAAGTACGGCGAAGTTAGACGGAGTTAGACTAGGTAGGGACAATGGAAGCAGAAGTACGGCGAAGCTAGACGGAGTTAGACTAGGTAGGGACAATGGGAGCAGAAGTACGGCGAAGTTAGACGGAGTTAGGCTAGGTAGGGACAACGGAAGCAGAAGTGCGGCGATGTTAGGCGGAGTTAGTCGAAGGAGGAAGAGGATGGCCGAGGACTCGGGGAAGTTGGACGAAGTGCGTCGAAGTACGTCAAAGCGCGAGAGGGTTGGATGAACGTCTAGGAGGAATAAACAATATTAGCTGAGAAGATCGCTGAAGTTCTTCAGCGATCCTTGATTGTTGTCAGTAGTGAAAAACAGATAGAGATAGCTATATACAATTCGAGATACATCGCCATCAGTAAACAAAACCCCAGTTAGAGTAACTACACCAAAGTACGCCGTAGTTACACTCCTTTCGACTTCTGCGCCCTCCCGGTTGGGTGAGACATCGACTCAGAGCGTCAAGTTAGCCGAGTTCGTCGACCGTCGTCTGCC